TCTCCTCTCTCCCGCTCGCCCCGTCCTCTTCCACCCGCCGCTGGGCACGCGCTGCCGTGTCTGCACCTGCCCGCCCTCCTGCCTGCAGGCTACCGCGAGCGCGCCGCTCCGCACGGTGCTCGGTCCCACGACCCCGCCCTCCTCCAACCGCTGCTGCGGCCGCGTCGCGTCCCCTGCGCGCTCCCCGCTTTGGTCCCCCGCGCCCGCCTGGCACCGACCCGACCGACCGACCGACCGACCCACCGGCTGCACGCCAGCGCACGGCCCTTGCCCGCGCGCCAAGTGCCCGCATTCGCTCCACAAAGCTGCCGCCCAGCGCGATCTCCCGCGATCCAGCGCGATTCGTTTGGCGCGCTCGTCCTCTTCCTCGACTTGGCGACTATGGACGACCTGCTCGAGTTTCTCAACCTCGACGGCCTGAGAGCGCCGTCCGGACCGCACGGCGCCTTTGACGCCGACGCCATGGACCTCGACGTCGCTGTCGGCATCGACCGCCTGCCGTCGCCCCCCGTCCTCTCGACGCCCTTACCCCCGCCCGCACCGGCGACCTCGGCCGCGACGGACGCCGATCTGCTCATGGCCTCGTCGGCGCTGCGGCCCTCGGCCAACCTCGCCATCATGGTTGACGGCTCCAGCTCGTCGCTTTTCCCGCCTTCGGCCCTGGCGCTGCCGACCACCCCCGTCACACCCGCGTCCTCGTCAATGCCCGTGCCGCTGCAACACCAGATGCCGCAACCCGTGTCGCGCGGCACGCTCTTCCACGACCAGCTCCAGCAAATCCGCCGCGCGCCCATGTGGAGCGACGACGAGGACGACGACCACGAAGACGACGACGCGAGCGATCGCGGTGAGGACATGGACGGCAGCGACCGCATGAGCCCCGCCGTGCCGCCCGTGGTGGCCCTGCCGACGCCGCCGCGCGCCACGGCCCCACAACGCGCGCGCCGCGATTCGCTGCCGTCGTCGGCGGCCGAAATGACCAGCCGCATCTTGGCCGCGATTGACCGCGATCATCACCGCGCCCATCGCGACCAACGCGACCACGACGCATTGCACTTGCCGACCGCGAGCAGCCATGGTGATGCGAGCAGTAGCGCCGAAAGCTCGCCGCTGTCGTCGGCCGCGTCGAGTGATATGGACGAGGACGAGGCCTCCGACGCGCCCATGCTCGCCATCAACCCGAGCCGGCTCTCGCACACGGCGCCGGCCCCGGTGCAAACGGCCCCAACGCGCACCGCGCGCTCTACACGTTCGGCGACCAGCGCCCTGACCATGGCCGCCACTGAGGAGGGGACTCTTGCCCGCCGTCGCCGGCGACCGGCGCCCACAGCCACGGCGTCCGCATCTGCGCCGTCCACCGCATCTGCTCCCACGGGCCCCGTTCGCCGCTCAGCGCGTGCCAAGCGATCCAACACCTCCTCCACCTCTGCCTCCGCCTCTGCCGCTGCCAAGTCCCATGCTGAATCGGCACCGACCACTGCGACAGCCACGCCACCACCATCCAGCGCTGCTGCGACCCTCAAGCGCCGCACCCGGTCGGCCTCGGCCTCACCCAAGCCGCCGCCGGCCACGCGCGCGCGCGCAAGACCCCGTCGTGGTGCGACAAGCCGGCGCACGTCGCCCGTCCGGGCTCTGACGCCCGTTGCGAATGCCACACCCGGGCGGCACTCGGCGTCGCACATGCTCGCTCGGTTTGTCGGGCGGAAGCAGACGCTGGCACCGTCGGTTGCTCGCGCCTCCGACTCGGCGGCCGCAGCTGCACCGGTCCCTGAGCCCAAGGTCAAGGCGGAAGAGGAGATGGTGATTAAGGCCGAGCCCATCGACGCGTCGGATCTGGCTGTGGCCGCGACCCTGGCTCCCGCTTCGGTTCCGAGTGAGACCAGCCCGGCAACACCGGCACCGTCCACGGCCCTGGCAACCGCGTCGACCTTGCCGTCGCCGCCGGCGACTGTCCCGCGGCCCACAACCATTGCCGCCGCGCTCGGTGTCGGGATTCCCGCGCCGGCACCACTGACCGCGGCCGCGCCGAAGTTGCCTCACCTGAGGCCTGCCGCCGCGACTCCCGACCTCGACGACCACTTTGACCCGGACCATTTCGACGACGACGACGAGCACGACGACGACATGCTCGTCGACCCTCCGACGGGCCACCACCCGTCGCTGTGGCCGCCCAAGCACCTCAACACGGAGCCGTTTGATCTCGACGAGACGGCGGCGCACTTGACCCCAAAGGAACGGCGGCAACTGCGCAACAAGATCTCGGCGCGCAATTTCCGGCAGCGGCGCAAGCAGTACCTCGAGCACCTCGAGGACCAAGTCGCGGCGTTGCGGATTGACGTTTCGCACGAGCGCAAGCACCGGCACTGGGCTGTTGAGCGCGCGACCGTGCTCAAGCAAAAAGTCGAGGAACTTGCCACGGAGCTGGCCGAACTCAAGGGGTGTGACGCGAAGGGCATTGTCGACCAGATCGAGGCCGCGCTGCCAAAAGGCCCGCCTCCACCGCCGAGCCCCAAGGCCAAGCCGACACCGCCGCCGTCCGTCAAGACGGTCCCGACCGCGGCGGGCGCTCCATACCCGATGCTGGCCGGTCGTGCGACGACGCCCAACAAGCTCGGGCTCGGCAAGTTGCCGACGCCCGTGACGGGCGGGTTGCCGCTGCCGCCCATGATGCCGGGCATGTACCCGTACTTGCCGGCGCCGTACATGCTCCCGGCGCCGTCGCCGGCGCTGGCCGCGTACTACCATCACCACCACTTTGCGGTGGCTGCGGCCGCGGCGGCACAGGCCGCACAGGCCGCACAGGCGGCGGCGGCGCGGCCCGAGGCGACCATTCGCGTGCACTAAGCATCGGAGTGCGCGGTGTTTGTGTGCTCAGTTTGTTTCTCCGCTTTTTTCTCGACTGTTCGTTGGCATTCCCCTCCTCTTGTCAATCGTTGCGCTTTCCCTTCGTTCTCGTCATGTTCTGTTCTGTCCCTCAAGATTTGACCCGTTTGCTCATCATCCCCTCCTTTTGGCGGGCGGGCGTTGCTGGACGGTGCGCCCGCTGTTTTCTCTCACTCTCTTCCTTCATCAATCGTTCTTTTGGTTTCGATCGTTGCGTGTTTTGTTTCTGTTCTTGTTTCTGGGTTTGGTTTCTTGGCATTGGGTTTCGTTGCGACCCTGGACCGGATCGCGCGCGTTTGAATGAGCGGCTTAAAAGAATATACACACGAAATATATAAGGGTGCTCCAGTTTTTCGACGAGACTGCGGTGGGGAAATCAGCGACGGTGTGCAGCCGTTGATCGTTGTGGAGATCAGCTGGAGTCGAGATCGCGTGTGTGGAGCCAAGTGGACGAAATGCTCAGCAACGCATCACGCCGAGTCCTGTGACGAGCGCGCAGCCGCACCCCCACTCCCTTCCCGCATTTCTGTGATCATGAGTGATCGATCACCTTTGAGCGCCACGACAAATCAACTCGCTGCAACCACGACATCGAATCGGATACGTGCCCACTCGGCGCGCCTACTCTTTGATCAAGCGACTCTCAATCCGAAACTCGACCCTGTTACCACCAATCATGGCCTCGCACACGCTCACGCAGCTGCAACTGCGGCGTCTGCTCGAATTCTACTTTTCCGACGCGCACCTGCCCTCGCTCGCCGCGCACGTCGCCAAGTACTTGTCCCCCGTCCCATCCGCATCCACCACGACCGACAAGTCCTGGGTCCCCCTCTCGGCGCTGCTCACCTACTCGCGCATCAAAAAACTGGCGCTCGGCAATGTCAACGCCGTCGTCGCCGCCATCCGCGCCTCTTCGGTCCTCGAAACCGACCCGGACTGCACGTCCGCCCGCCGGCGGGATTTACGGCCCGTGATCGCGCTCGACTCGGTCGTGGATTTCAGCGCCGTGCACGTGTCGGACTTGCCATTGGGCATTGCCGCGAATGAGTTGCGCGCACACTTTGAGCAGTTTGGCGCGATCAAGGAGTTCAACGTGACGAATAAGCGTGGGACCGCCGCGGTCGTGCGGTTTGTCGAGGAGGCGGGTGCCGAGCGCGCGGTCGCGTTCAAGGGGCACGTGTATAATGGGGAGCCGTTCAGGGTGGTGTACAAAATGTGTGTATTCCTCGCGGGTTGGATCTGGTCTGAGAATCAGCGACTGATGCGAGGATGCTGAATCGATAGCCGGTCCATGGATGTTCCGAAACCCAAGCCCACGCCTGTGACTGCCACGACGACCGCATCCTCGGCGACCTCCAGGAAACGCACACGTAACGACGAGCCGACGGTCCTTGCCGACATCGTCGCGCCCAGTTCCGCAGCTCCGGCAGCTGCCGCATCCACCGACGCGACGATGAAACTCGGGTACACGCCCGGGTGCGTCGTCGCTGTGACGGGTGCTGCTGCCGCGGTCGCGACCAAGGCTTTGCTGAGGGTACATTCACCGCTTTCTTCGTCGCTGCACGTCGCGACCGAACCACGACTAATCCGCGCTTCGATGCGCATAGCCCTTCTTTGAACCCTACGGCGCCATCAAAGTCATCACCCCGACCGACCTCGCCACCTACATCGAATACACGACACCGCTCGCCGCTGACGTCGTGTCGGCCATTTCCGCATCGACCGTGCGCGAGAAATTTGGTGCGACTGCCGCACTCACGGCACTCATGGGCGACGCTGAGTTGGCGTACCACGGCGACCGCGCGCGGCAGCTCAAGGCGAAGAGCAAAGGCAAGGGCAAGCGTGCCGGCGGGAAGCGCGTGGGGACGGCGACGGGCAAGTTGGCGACGGCTCCCAAGGGGTTGGTTGTGGAGATTGATCAGGACGAGGATGAGGATTTGGACGAGTTGGCGCGGCCCAAAAAGCGGCGCACGTTGACCAAGGCTGAGGAGGAGAAGTTGAATGCGTTGATGGCCGGCTTTGAGACGGTGGCGATGTGATTTTAAGGGGTGGATAATATTTGCGTGTGGTCAGTTTGGTAGGCTGGGTCAGATACAATAAAGTGGACTCGTGTCCATGTCAGCGTGGTGTAGTCGGTTTATCACATCTGCCTCACACGCAGAAGGTCCCCAGTTCGAACCTGGGCGCTGACAGAATAAGTCGGCATTGGCACTTTTTGCCGATGTGGCCCGATGACTTTTTCCACGAGGATAAGTTCAACAGAGTCGCCACGTCAAGATGTTGGATGAAACGCCAGCCAGCAAATGCAAGAAGCTGCCAGCTCTCCGAACAGGTTTATTGTCTGTGCAAGCGGTTCTGTTAAAGAAGCAGAACATGTAGGTCATGATACGCTGCCAGCACGCTTCACGATCACCCGAAGCTCGCAACCCCACGTAACTTGCTGCAGCTGCACGCTCTTGGACGTTTGGTGGACCTGCATTGTGTGGCCAACGCGCGCTCGTCGTTCAGCCGATTCTCTTGTGAACTCAATCTCGACCAACTTCAACGAACCGACACAAGACGACCATGGCAACGTGGATGTCCGACTCGCAAAGTACGACCATCAACCAGAGCCGACCATTTCTACCTCGTTCGTGGCCGTTTGGTCGCTTTCCGATACTGCTGCAAGTGGAGCCGCGACGCGCACCGCTCCGTGCACAAATCGGTCAATGAATCGAACAAGACAGCTCACGACGCCGTGATCATCCACCCCGTGCTCAGAAATCGGCGCCGGGCTCACGGGCTTTGGCGCCCTGTTCCTGCTCCTCGGGATGATCTTGTTCATGGACGGCGGGTTGCTCGCCATCGGCAACGTACGCCCTGTAAGCCCGTCACGTTCTCGCCGTGTTGATCTGACACGCCCAAACGATCCCGTTCCCGTACTAGGTGCTGTTCATTGGCGGCGTGACCATGCTCATTGGGTTGACCAAGACGGTCGCGTTCTTTGCGCGCCGCAACAAGCTGCGCGGCAGTATCTGCTTCTTTTCGGGCGTGTTAATGGTCTTTCTCGGGTGGCCCGTGATTGGGATCATCGTCGAGGCGTTTGGGTTCATCAACTTGTTTGGGTATGTCTGTACGATGCGGTGCGAGTACGAAATGCTGACGTTGGTGTCCGTGTAGCGACTTCTTCCCCGTGGTCGTGGCGTTCCTGCGGCGCGTGCCCGTAATCGGGCCCGTCTTGTCGGCGCCGGGCGTGACGCATGTGCGTGTCGTTTGCGACGGGTTTGTTTACGTGGGTGTGGGTCGCGAGGACACTGGACTGACGCGATGCTGTTCTCTTCTCTCTCGTGCAGGTCGTGGACCGACTCGCGGGCACGCGGTTTCCCGTGTAGCCTGGTCGCCAGGGTCTTTGAGTCTTGGTGTTGGAGTGTCGCGGACCGCCGCGCGCGCCGTTGTTGTTCGATCGGGAACAAGGCGTTATTTTGTGTTGTCGTGAATGCGGATATCTGGTGGGAAGCGGACTCCGCTGCAGCGTCAGCAACGGGACTGGTCCAGCAAGATGTTCCCAAACGACTGATCTATTTTCCAACTCTACAACGACGACTTCCCCGACGCGACGGCGCGCCGGATCCAAACGTGTCTTTTCGCTCCTCGCACGGCCAGACCACGCTCATGCTCCACCTTACACGGTCCATCCATTGTCGCTCGCCAGGACGCGTACCAACCTGAGCCCACCGCTGGGCTCATGAAAAAAATGAAAAAGAGAAACGATCACGAAGCCAAAGCACCGACGCGACGCGTGCAAAAACCAATCCGATGTGGGCCACATCACATACATGCGCGAAGCCGGCTCGACGCAGCTTCGCATCCGAGATGAAAAAAAAAAAAAAAAAAGAATACACGCTGATACCGCAACCTCGCATGCGCTCCCGCATCCGCACCACGCACCCGCCCCCTCTCCACCCTCCGCTCCGACCGCATCACATGCCCACGACCTCCAACTCGCTGCGCACCGCGGCCTCGCGCCCTGTGCGGGACCTCCCTACAATCACCTGCGGGCTCAACGAAAACGGCCTCGACAGCGTTGCCATCCCGCGCACCAGTACGGCCCCCAAATGCAATAACCAGTCGAGCGCGCGCGACGGGACCGACGACGGTGGGGGCGCACGGACGACCTCGGCAGTGCGGCGCGGGGCCATGCACGACCCAGAGAATTGCGACGAGGTTGGGGACGACGGGAGCATCGTGTCCGGGTTCGCGGGCGGGAGCAGGCCTAGGATATGCATCCATCAGCGCGTGCGTCCTCCAAAAGCTGCGCGTTGGCGTTGGGAGAGAAGGGTACCTTCGCTCCGCCACCCGTCCACCATGAGCTCGAGCAAAACGGGCAGCGGGAGGCGCCGGTCGCCAACGAGTGGGAGGCCCTCGTGGACGAGCTTGTGGTAGGCAAACAGGTAGGCTTCCTTTGGGAGCGTGACGGGTTTTAGGCGCGGTGCAGCAGCCGCCGCCGCTGCTGCGGGGGCAGGAGTCGCGTCTACCGGCGGGGGTGCCAGCCACCGTGCGCGCTGCGCGTGCCAGTGCGTGACGCCCGTCAATGGCGGGTCCGGCGGAGCGGCGGGCCTCGGTGGCGGAGGCGGCGGGGATGCGACGGTGGTAATGGCGACGACGAGCGGATCATGTACAGAGGAAGATGTGTCGGGGTCGTTATCGCGGTCGATGGCGGCGTAATCATTGTCGGCAGCGGGTGCGGCAGCAGCAGCGACGGGTGTTGGCGCGGACGGGTTGGCAGGCGCAGCGGCAGCAAGGTCGAGCGCCGAGTCGGCCTTGGCAGAGGTTGTCACGATGGATGCGTTGGTCGTCATGGTGATGGTTGCAGCCGTGTGCGCCGTTGTGCAGGATGGTGGAGCGTGCGGTTGCGGGCAGTCCCGGTCGCGGTCGGTCATGAATGGCCGGCCGTAGCTGCGCCGTCGACGCCGTCGAGGAGGTTGAAGAGCAGGGACGGCCGACGCGCGCGAGGTCGATGGTGAAGATGGTGAAAGTGGGGGAGGGTGGTTGGAGTGTGCCGCGGTGTCGTTGCCGACGCGCGATGCGGACCCGTCGTTTTCACTCCAGCAGTGACTGCGCCACGCCATGCAGGTGCCATGTGATCGCCCACCGCACCTCCACCGCAGGCCAGCCGGGGAACCGCCCGTCGTGATCGGACGGCCGTGTGCGCCCGGTCTGCGCTCTCCCGCACCCTCCCGCGCTCGCGCTCAAAAAGCGAAGACACACCCACAGTCACACCCCACCAAGCACACTCGACACGCCCACCATCCACCATCATCAACCATCAACCATGTCGGCCACCACCGCCTTGTTCGCCGCCGCGGCCCAAGCAACTGCCTCCTCGACGACGACCGCGGCCGCCGCGCCGCCAGCTGCCCGCCCCGACGCCGCTCCCGCACCTGCACAAGCACCCGCCAGCCGCACCGACCCGCCAGCCGACCCCGCCACCGAAGGCCTCACGCACCTCCAGTCCACGCTCCACCTCGTCAACGAAATCCGGCTCGTCGTGCAGTCCCTGCGCACTGCAACTGCTTCTGACCCGGCTGTCGTGCTCGCGCGCGACTCGTTGCGCTCGCTGCGCACGACGTGCCGCGAAAGGGCTGCGCGTCTCGTCTCGCTCTGCAACGTGCTCGATCACCGGGGGGACGGCGCGTCCATGGACGTGGTCGACGACGCCAGGGGCGCCGAGCTCTCGCAGCTGCGTCAAGTACGTGTCCCGCCTTCTTTGAACCATGCTTGCTCCACGGGCGCAGTCCGTGCTCACCATCCTCTGTGCTGCTCCGCCCACTAGACCTGGACCTCCAACTCGGAAAAGGTGCGCACGCTGCACGCCGAGATCATGGCCTTCCGCGAAATGCTGCACGTTCTCGTCGCGTCGGCCGGCGTCGCCATCGCGCCCACGGCGCTCTGAGCGCGCTCGCGTCCAACCTCTCGTTGCTAGCTGTGGTTTGCTGCGCGCCGTGTCGGACGGCGCGCGACCCATGTTTTCTCTGTCTTTCTCATTCTCGTTCTCGTCTGTCCACGGTGCCCCATCCATCATCTGTTGTTGTCCCAAGCTGGGCGCGCCGCGCGCGTGCGCCGCCGGTCGGCTGCCGCGCCCTCGGCTCTTTCGTTCTTTGTGTGCTAAACGTCGGTAATCATGACTGCCTTGGCGATTCCTTGGTGCTCTCCCTCTCTCTGTTCCTCTGTCACCGTGCCGACGTGGCAGTGGTGGTGGTGTGGCGCAACGAACGCGACGCGACACGACGCGTCGCAGCGCGTTTTGGGCGTGGTCATGGCGGCGGTGTGGGGCGGGCAGTGCCAGGGCGCGCGCAGGATTCCCTCTCCCGCTCGCATGGTCGCCCATGGTGCGGCAGGCGGCCAGGACACAATCCCGGCCTCATCATCGGCCAGCGCCGGGATTCGTGACCATCGTGACGCGGTTGGTGGCCAGGACTGCCCCGACCGACACGTGGGGATGCGAAGGTGCGGGCAAAAAGCGAGTTTCAGTGCTGCATCGGCTGAGGATGGCAGGATGGCATGGCACGAAGGCAGGGAAACGAGCAAACGCGCTGCGATGGATGGATTTGATGCCGCGAGACATCGGGCGATTTGCGCTCTTCATTAGCGTGCATGTGACCGCGTTCCCTTTGCGAAATGTCTCCCTCCTCCTTTCTTCCTCCACCTCCTCCCCCACCGCGGCACGGCGCCAGCCTTGCCCGCACGCGCACCGTGCGAACCGCGAGAGCCGCGAAAACGCATCTGTGGCCGTTTGGTTGGAGCGGGGGTCGACGGCCCACCACGCCGCGCACGCCCTGCTGCAGCTGCCCTCGCTCCTCTCCTCATTCGACGCGTTTTCTCTAGCGACCACGCGTCAATCATCACGAACCGGCCTCGCGACCGCTCCACGACGCTGAATACGGCCCAAACGACATTATCGAACCCAACCGCTGCCCTGATCCGACCGTTTTCGCGAGGGTTTGTGCCAATTTCCTCGAGCTTGTTCACCTCGACGCGTGCCTGACCCCCCTCTCCACAGCACCCACCGACCAACGATGCCCGGCAGACGCTCGCGCAAGACCAGATCCAGCTCGGACGCGGGCAGCGGGTCGAGCAGCAGCTCCGCGGCCCCGCCCGAGCGGCGGTCGCGCGCAAGCACGATCGAAGCGACCCCGGTTCCGCGCGCCGACTA